AAAAAAAAAAAAACAACAGAAAAAAGCACCATACTATCAAAACATTAAACAATGTGATGACAAGCATATGAATAGACAAACCAATGTAATAAGATATGGAAATATATCCTAATACCTATGGAAACTGAGTATATGATTAAGGGGAGCTATTTCAATCAGAGGGGGGCAAAGTTTTGAATGAGGTAGTAGTATTTCATTGGTCTTAGAGTACGTTTAAAACAGACAATTTTGCCCATCTTTGAACTTCCTATATCTGAAATCATACAGCAGGCTCTTTGTTGCATTAACTCTCTTCACTCAACATTACTTCTGTATGAAACATCAATATTGTTGGTTAGACCAGTTAATTTGTCCCTTTTATTACTATGTAGTGTTCCATCATACCAAATACAGTTTGTTTACCTATTCTACTACTGATGGACAGTTGAGCTACTATGAATATTTGGGTATGATTATTTTGGTAGGGATACATGCACTCATTAGTGTTAGGTCTGTATACCTACAGTGACCAATCTTACTAAAATTAAGATGAGCAGACATATGCATTCTCATGTGATATGACAAGAACACTGGACCCAAATCTAACCAAGCCATTAGACAAGCATGAAATGAAACCTTAAGTATGCAGCCATCCATATTTAGAACTCAGTTTCTTTAACAGAGAATGGAGTTTAAAAAAAAGAGTGGAAACTGATGTAAATTAAAAGAAATTTAAGAGCAGCACCTGGGTGGGTCACTTGATTAAGTGTCTGACTCTTGGGGCGCCTGGGTGGCGCAGTCGGTTAAGCATCCGACTTCAGCCAGGTCACGATCTCGTGGTCCGTGAGTTCGAGCCCCGCGTCGGGCTCTGGGCTGATGGCTCAGAGCCTGGAGCCTGTTTCCGATTCTGTGTCTCCCTCTCTCTCTGCCCCTCCCCCGTTCATGCTCTGTCTCTCTCTGTCTCAAAAATAAATAAACGTTGAAAAAAAAAAATTTTTTTAAAAAAATAAAAAAGTGTCTGACTCTTGATTTGGGCTCAGGTCATGATCTGCCCCTCATCAGGCTCCACAGTGAGCGTGGAGCCTGCTTAAGTTTCTCTCTCTCCCTTTCCCTCTGCCTTTTTCCCCCACTCATAAAAAAAATAAATACAACTCCATTCTAAATAAATAAATAAATAAATAAATAAATAAAGGAGAGAGAGAGAGAAAGAGAGATAAATGAAATAAAAAGAAAACTTAAGAGACCTGTCAGATGCATTGTGGAAAGGATGCTTATTTGTGTACTCTTTAAAATCTCCATGATAAAAAGTTAAATAAAAACTTAGAATCTACATCATATACTGAGCTACCAGTTCTTTTGTTTTTATTTTTTTTTTAATGTTTTCCTTTTTGAGAGAGAGAGCGTAAGCGGGGAGGATCAGAGAGTGAGGGAGACACAGAACCTGTAACAGGTTCCAGGCTCTGAGCTATCAGCACAGAGCCTGACGCAGGGCTCGAAGCCCCGAGTGGTGAAGTCGACGCTTAACTGACTGAGCCACCCAGGCACCCCTGGAGCTACCAGTTTTTAAAGGAAGTATAAAGTTAGTACAGATAATTTTGTTTCAAAATTTTCCTATTTTATATCTACCCAAAATAAAAACTGAAGAGCAGAACTGCTCTATTTGTCAATAACTTCTTCAGTTTTGATAAAGGAAAATTTAAAAGGGGAAAGGCAGAAGAAAATCAACTGAGAAAATAGAAGTTACTTTTCCCTGAAGTGACCTTCAGATACGTTTTATCACAACAAAAGTATTAGTAGCCAAGAACTGAATATCTAATGGAAATTTGAGATAAACACATAAAAGACAGGACACATACAGTAACAATTATATATAATTAAATATATTTTTCTGAAGTTTGAAGATATGAGGATAATGAGAACTTACTTTTTTTTTTTTTTTTACCATAATCTGAAATCTTGATCCTAAGAACTTTAAAACTTGGTGCACATATGACTGGGAACCTAATTTTATTCAAATAATTTGTTATTTTATTCAAATAATGCTGTATATTTATATATTTAATCAAACTGATTTTTAAAATCAAAACCTAGAAATAGAACACACCAATTCAGCCCATCTGTCAGTAAATGTAAAAGTCTAAATAAAGGGAG